CTCTTTCTGGAAGCCTTTATCTGTTTACTCCATGTGGGAACCTGATCCCACTTCTCAGGAGGGCTCATTTTGGGTGGATTTTGCTCTTTCTGAACTGAATTGTCTTGTCTTTCCCCTTGGATCAGAGTTGGCCACGTGCAAACTCCATCTCTCAGCCTGAACTTTCTTTTCTCAGTTTCTTCCTTCCCTTCTGAAATCTGGGCATTCTGGAAGGGTGAGGAGCCAACCAGCTGGATTTTGGTTTAACTCTCATTTTTCCTTCCTCTTTTCTTTACTCCATAACTTTGCTACAGAAGGAAACAATCACTTCAAGGTAGTTCTGTGTGTTTTATTTCAGATGTTCATTAATCATCCTGTTACATGGCCAACATTAATCCTTTTTTTTTTTTTTTTTTTTAATTTTTTTCCCCTAGCTTTGGCCTGTGTTCAGTGAGTTTCCAGTTGTCACCATGGATGCTGTGGAGCTTTGGCTGGAGCTCCATGGCAATTCAGATGTGACCTGGAATGTAATGGCCATAGGAATGCTCAGCCCTTTGGTTGCTGCGCTGCATCCTCCAGATCAGCACTTCCCAAAGGCTCTTGGAATTTGGTCTTTGTCACTCAAACTTCCCTTCAGGAACGCTGCCTTCCATGGTGGACTTGCCTTTGTCCCTGCTGGGAGGCCTCTGTTGGTTTTACCCCCTGGAAGCTGTTATGTAAAATCTCTTTATTCCAGGCTGCTGCTCCCCTGCCCTGTTTTCTCTGTGTGCACCTGGGAGGCCCTCAGGGATAGGCCTGGAGGGTTTTCCCCTCCTTCCCCTCAATTCTTTTGGCTGCTCTTACACGTTATGTACTAATATTTGGAAGAGGAGGGATACAGTGGCAGGATGTGTCTATAAATTGATGTGATTGTGTGTTGTGGCACTTGAGAAGTGTCAGTTCAGCCCTAAGCAGGGAGAAACCCTTGGGAAGTGCAGAGGTATCCCAAGAGGTGTGTTTTCCCCTCAGGTTGCTCCACTTCCCAGGAGAACCTGGAGCTGGTTGGTTGCTCCTGGGTTCTTGAAATCCAGTTACATTTTCCTGATTTTAAGGGAGCAACTTTGTGCTGCTTCCCTGAACTGACAGACCCACTTTTTAAGGACATCTTTGACTCAATGATGGACCCCAAACCCAAACAGGTTGCAAAGGTTATTCACTGTTTACACTCCCCTTGTACTGAGGCAGCTGACTTTGGGCAGTGACTCTGTCATCCCTTCTCTTGGTTCCTGTGGAGGGGCTGGAATATTTTTGGGAGAGAAAACCTCTTTTTAACTGGCACACTCGGGCCCTGAACACCTGACTGTGGCTTACGTTCTTCAGGCTTTTCTGGGACACTCAGTTATTTCCACTGAGTGACAATATGAGGGTTTTTTGGTGCATTCTGCATTTCCTTTCATCTCCACGTCCAAAACACGGTGTTGGGGGACTGAATCCTTGTGCTGACTGGAGAAAATCCAGAGGGGTTGCACTTCCAGCAGCTGTGGAAAACAACTCTCTCTTCCCATCAAGCGGGAAACAAGGAGGATTTGGTCAGCAAGGAAAATAACAGATGTGCTTTGCCATTCTGTGCAGAAACTGCTGTTGTTGCAGCTAAAACAGGGAGATGGAATTCCAGAGTCCTCCAGCTTGCTGGAGGTGGGATGTGCTGGGTCCTCAGCGTAGTACTGACTGTGAGTGAGCACATCCTGGAGTTTGGGGTTCTTGCCCGTGGTGAAAGGTCTTTGGGCATTCAATAAAATGAAGAAACAGAGCTTGTTTCCTGAGAAATTCCAGCAGTTGGGCTTCCCAGGTACCACTTCCCACTTTTTTCTTAACTTCTGTTGTGGTTTGGAGCAGGTGAGACGTTTTGGTGCCTGCAGGTGTTCCTGGGAAGGTTGTTAGTGGGTGATGTGGGGCTTTGCCACCTGATTGCAGGTTCCCTGTGTAGCACTCATTAACCAGGGCCCTGCTCAGCATGAGGAGTCTGGAAGGTTCCAGCATTCCTGCCTCCAAAGGCCATTCCAGTCTTCTGCTTGTGTGAGTTAAATGAATCTCATAATGGTTTTTATTTGGATTTTTAGGTGAGGCATCATCCTCAGCTCTGTGTGAACTCTCAGTCCTCGTGGTTGGTATCTTCCCTTTCTGGTTTCCAGTTCCAGAGGGAAAACGAGGTGGTTTTTAATCCCAGGGCATTTTTATCCAGAAGATCTGCATTTGACACTGACTTGCCCCTTATCCATCCTGGATAACCTTGGCAAAGCAAATAAGGTTGGAGTCCTCATTAATACACATTGAAGGGGTAAAAGTACTAATAAGTGGCTGCAGACAAAGCCACAAAAAATCGTTCCAGAGGATGGAAAGGGTTCTCTTCCAAAAGCAAAACCTCCTTGTGCACCTTGTGTACCTTGTTGCATCTGCTTTGAGATACCCAGTGGTAAAAGGCCCCTCAGCAGGTGCTGTGGGTGTTGGTGCTTTTGGGGGCTGCTGATGGTCCAGTGATGGGAGATGAGGCTTGTTGGAGTGGTGTGGAGCTGGGAAAGCAAGAAGGCTTCTGGATGTGGGGCCTTTTTCAGGTCTGACAAAGCAGCTGTAAACACCAGCCTGGAAAATGGGCTTGGAAATAACAGAACTCTTTGTGTGATCAGGGTAGGTGATTAGTGTTAGTGAAGAGAAAACCTGGGCTGGTGGAAGGTGTCTTTCCTGGGACTGGATGGGCCTGAAGGTCCCTTCCAACCCATTCCATGGATTGGAGTAACTCCTGGGGGTTAATGGTGAGGGAGGGTGGGAAACAAGGAATGGAGTCTTGCAGCACCTTAAACAGCTCATCCTGGAAGGATTGCAGGAGGGAATGCCAACCCCAAACTGACTGTGGTCCCACAGGGTTCATTAGGAATGTTTTCCTCAGCCCCAGATGTCTGGGAGTGTGGTGAAAAGGTAACTCTGCTCTCCCAGCTCCTGGTGGCAGGTGAGCTGTGTCCCAGGTCATCAGTTCCCTAAAAAACCTTGGAAAAAGAGGCGATCCTGAGGCAGAGCTCCTGGTGTGCTGAAGAGGCAAAACAGCTGAGTGGCTTTAGATCCCACTTTTTCCTCCTTGTGGCTGTATGTTCATTTTGTGAGTTTAAAGATGAGGACCTGCCTGCAGCCCTGGTGCTCTCCTGGGGTTGTAGCAGTGAGAGAGAGGAATGCTGATCCTTGGAGCAGGGAGGGAAGGGGGTCCTGGTGAACCTCCCCCAGTCCCAGCTGCCCATCCTGGCAGGTGTTTGTGGTGATGAGCCAGGAGCTCTGTGTTACCTCAGCTCTCCAGTTTATTTTGCCAATATTGATTGTCTCGGGGTAATATTAATTTGTGTGGCCCTGCAAAGAGTTCAGACCTCGTTGTTAGTTGTGTTCTGAGCGTGGTTACAGGCGATCCAGGGCTGCCTGCCTGTGTTTGGACCTGTTTGGGATGAGGTGTGTGTTTTGTAGCTATTCTGGGACTGTGTTCTGAGGGAATTCCATGTTTTCCAAATATGCCCTGAGTAATCACGGAGTGTTGTGTCTATCACTGTATTTATAGGGTCTGCTCTCAGAATGTTTGGTTTTCCCATACCATTAAACCTTCTGTCTCAACACCCAATCCTAGTTCCTGCTGGAGTGGAGGAAGAGGTTCTGGTTTATCAGGAATTTTGATGTGGACTCTGGAAGTTCTAGTTTCCACTTCCATTTTATTTTTTCATCCAGTTTCCCCATCAGTCTCCCCTGAGCTGGTGGTGGCTGCTCTCTCCCGAGCAGGTTCAGCCTGATGGTGTGAGGTGTTCCCTGCCTTGCTTCGCTCACAGCTCAGGTTTTCTGTGATTGTTCCTTCATAAATACATGACTTAGAGCCCATTTATTGTAGAGGAAGACCAAGACCTCAGAAAAATTGCTGGTTTATTTTTTCATTTCTCCCAAATCACACTGTGCAGTAAAAGAACCAGGGGGGGAAATGAGCTTGAAGTGTGTGATTTCCTGAGGCAGATTTGCTTTTGTTTTATCCATTGTTTCCTTTAAAGTTGTACCTGATTCCTGTGAAAGATTCCCAAACTGCCAGCTCATCCTCTGGACTGAGGTCTCCTGTTGGCTCCGTGATCTCCTCTTTTCCTTGGGGATTGTCCAGCCTTGGTCCTTGGTTTCTGTGTTACCGGCGAGGGTGGTCCTGGCCCAGGAAGGCTGGATGGTGGTGGTGTGAAACCGCTCCTGATTGACTCAATAAACCCCTTCCAGCAGCTTTAATCTCTCCTGACGGGTGTTGAGGACCCTCTGACCTGCCCAAGCCTGGGTTCAGTTGTTGGTGAGCAGCTCAGAGTTTGACAGAAGCTTCCTTTCGTGTCTCTCTCCCTAGGAAGTCCGTGAAGTCCCGGAGCCGCAGCCCTGGATACTCGAGACACTCATCTCACAGCAAAAAGCAGAGGTCTGGGTCCCGCAGCCGCCACTCCAGCATCTCCCCCACGAGGCTCCCGCTGAACTCCAGCCTGGGAGCAGAGCTCAGCAGGAAGAAGAAGGAGCGAGCGGCCGCGGCAGCAGCTGCGGCCAAGGTGGACGGGAAGGAGGCGAAGGGCTCCCCGGTGTTCCTGGCCAGGAAGGAGAACAGCCTGGCCGAGCTGAAG